AAGGAAGGAAGGAAGGAAGGAAAGGGGATCCACAGGATCTAGAGGCTCCTGGATGTGTCCACGACTAGGAGAAGGAGAATGAGCTGCTGGCTTGCCCAGCTGTAGGGAAAGGGGGCTAAGAAATTTAAGGAGAGCCAGAGGGGGGCCTCCAGCAGCTTCAGAAGGCTATGCGGTGGATGGAAAGGAGACCAATGAAGAAGCCTTTGTGTAGACTTCACTGGAATGCAAGGCACGAAACGAAAACCAGATGTTTGGCCTTTTCCTTGCATGGATTCCTGTTCTGTTTCAGTAGGGGATGGGGAGGAATGTGGGTTTGGCAGAGGAGCAGCTGGCGTCACTCGCCCACCCCCTCCTTTCCTCCATCACCATGCAGAAAGTGCAGGGCTGTGCAGGGCAGCTGATCCCTCGTGGCAGGAGGCAGTTCTTCCTCTGCCAGGGACCTTGCCTCGTCCGCCATCTTTGGATAGCCAGCCTGCTTTGCCATCAGTCTTCCTGCAGGAAGCATGTCATAAGCCTAGTTTCTCAGGTGCAGGAAGACAGCCCTCCCAAGCCCCTTCTTCATCCCTGACAGGCTGTCTGTGCCGCTGGGTTCGGCTGCCAGTGTTGGACTTTGGAGAACTTCAACGGTGGCCCTGCTGAAGGCCACCCGTGCCTGGCGCGGGCACAGGGCGAAGGACGAGCCCCTGGTATCTCAGCCCAAACAAGGGAGGCCCTGCCTTCGCCCGGTCGGGCCAAGGCCAAGGCTGGCCTGGGCTGTTGGCAACAAGGACAGCGCTTGCCCCAAGGCTGTTGCCTCTCCCACCAAAATACGACCCAGACATTCTGTCTTGGGATGGTGACCCCGGCTGCCCCCTGGCCCCATAAGCCTTTACAAGAAGCAGAGGTAGGGGCAAACAAAGGCAGCCCTGAAAACCACAGGAGGAGGTGTGATGTTCCTGGAGGCAAAAGCTGAGGTTGCCTGCTGAGTTCTAAGAGGGGTGGAGATGGAGGCGGGAAGCCTTCCAGGATGACTTTGAAGCCTTGGCCGGACTGCCCTGCTCCGGAAGTGTTATGTCTCCCTGGGAGACCTGGCAGCCTGTTCCTTTTCTGCTGCTGGGTGTGTGTGTGCATGTTTGTTCCTCTCTCCTGCTTTCCCTCACTCTTGCTCCTGCTCTCTCCATCCCCTGACCCCCCAATTCTCAGGCAGCTGCTTTCCAGAAAGTCTTCGGCCATCTGGGCCTTCACTCACACCCTTCCCAGAGCCAAGCCCCCCAAGAACGAGTGATCCACTCAGCCACTCGGAAGGCATTGACAAGAAGCAAGGGAAAGCAAAATCTTTGAATTACTAGCCATTGCAGTAACGTGAGGGGGTGGGTGGGTGGACCGGCTGCTATGTAGCTCCGTAGGATGAGGGGGTGTCTCCTGTGTGCAAAGGCCGTTCTGGAGGGGTTTGATCTGAGCTGGGTTAACACAGGCTGAAGCCCTCTACCGACAATGGGCAACTTTCTGCCCTTAGGACTCGGTGGGGCTGCACTGCCCCCCCCAAGTAAGCCAAGAAGAACAAAAGCCAATGGGGTGGATTGAGGTCTGTTCTGGGACAAGCTGAGGTCGCCTCCCCTCCCACCCCCAAGAGGACCTTTACTGAAATTTGCATCAATGCAGGATTTTTTTAAAGTCCTGTTCCATAGAAATCAGTAGGAATATTGGCATTTGCTTCTATATTTTTCGGACTTATCCATAACTTTTGGAGGAGAACATTTTCAAGCACCAAGTGATATAATGAACAAAAAATGACAACAGTAAAAGCCTCAAGCATACTTTCACAAAGCATACTTTCACCCATCTCTAGGGTCGTGCTCAGAGCCTGATCCGGGTGGAGCGTAACCACAACACGGTTTGTATCGTGACACTGGCAAGGCTGTACATGCAATTCAGCAAATCTCAACTACAGCAGCTGTGTGGATGTGGAAACAGTTGTTGTAAACACGGCATCAACATCTTGCTTGCTCTCGATTTGCAAATTGCAAACGGGCAGTCTTGTGCAGAAACAGATGGAGCAAATTGCACTGGAGAATTTTGAGCTCTTTGCTGACTTTCCAGTGAAATCTGCGTTTTGAAAAAGGTACATAGGTGGCAAATTGACACCCTTGTCTATTTGCACAGAAAATTTTCCTCACATTGCACAGGAATTACATAAAGCATCTCTTTTATTTCTTGGCAAGAGCTCAGCTCATCAGGAGGCCCCAAAGGAGCAAAAAGGACAAACCAAGGTTAACCCCATGCCAGTTGCTTGTTGGATGGGTCGCAGGTCACACTTTTTTTGCTTGGGGTGTGAAACAGAGCATCCTGGATTCTGGGCTCTAGACTTCCAACTACTAGGCCTTGTTCTGGGTGGGGGAAAGAGAAGGGAGGGAGGTCACAGTTGAATGGGGGAACCTGTTCAGGATGCAGTGGATCCAATGTTCAAATGTAGAAGCAAGGCCAGTGGAAAAAAACCTTTCCAGCCTGAGAGCCTGGACAGTTCTTGACGCTCAGGGAGGATAAGGCTGAGTCAAACGGCTCAGATTTTGACCTTACTTCACCTCTTTGTCTTTTCCAAAGTACAGTTTATGACTGATGCACCCTTTCCTTGTTTTTGCCTGTGAATATTTGCCGCCCAAACATGCAGCTTTCCTTGCTTCAGGGAGACTTGGCGTGACCATGTCTGCAAACGTTTGCACCACTGGAGGCGGAAGAAACTCCAAACAAAGGAGAGCCTTCCTATTTTTCTGCCTGAGGCCAACTCAAAACCTAACAACTAAATCAGGTGAGTGGAAGGTTATCACGCCCTGACCAAGTTTGTCCCTGTCAAACAAGGAAGAAAGGCTGGCTTTGCAGAGAGAAAATGAAACATTTGAGTTTACTGAGAAGCACGATAAAAGTGTTTACTGCTCGAAGGAATGTCAGCAAAGGAAGCCAAATGTGATTGTTTGTAATAACAATACAAGGTTTTATTGTAAATCATTTCCAGGAGGGGAGCCCGATCCGTGTGGTGCAACAAAAACAACCCAGGGCCTTGCGCGCATCACTGTGTTTCATTTGGCATCAGCTTTGGGGGAAATGGGCAATAGTTCATGGAAGCTTCTGCCTTGGAATAAAATAACTTCTTGCGACAAAACTTATATATTTTTTTTAAAAAAATGCATTCTTCCTTAACTAGTGTCATCACAGAACTGAAAAGCAGTGGGTTTTTCCTCTGTTTTGGACATCTTAAATAAATGTTATGTATGCCAGACGCACATGTACATACATAGGATACCCAGTGTGGTGGTGTGGGGAGAGTGACGGTCTGGGTTTAAATGCTGGAAATTCACGGGAGGTGAGGAGTGGTTAAAAAACACTCTTTAAATATCTCACTTACCTTGAAAGCCTCATGGGATCACTCTAAGTCCGCAGACACATGTAGGTATACACATTAAGGTTTTCCTATATATAGCCTGCCGTGTTAACACAATGCTTTGGGGGGCTAACATTTTAAAAAGTGAAGCCAGGTGGCCCTGCTGACACAACGAAGCGCAGGCGAAGGTGTTCTCTGCCAGCCAGCCTTGGCTGCTCTCTGCCTGGCACCGAGCGGCAGCGCCAGGAAGCCGAGGAACGACCCGCTCCGCTCCGCCCCACCTCCAGAGATGCTCTGCGGGACTCCCGCGGACTTGGCCGGGACTGAAGCGGCGGAGCCGTGCGTGGAGTCCTGGGCCCTGCTGCCCCCTGGTGGAAGGAAGCGGGCAACCGAAGGCCCTTGCCACTTGAAGGTGCAACGTTTCGGGTTTCACAGGACATTTCGACAGGACAGGGGACTGAATTACAGGTCTTTTTTTCACGCGCTGAAGGTGAGCGGCGATGATCGTCTTGGTTGTCAGAAAGCGACTCTTCTGTCTGGTCCTTCCCTGCCAAAGGGTCGAGTCCCGAATTTCAGACCGGCTTCTCTCTCTCTCTCTCTCTCTGTTTCCTCCAAAGCCTTTTCAGGCGGGCGGGACGTCCCTTGCCCAGGACGCCTGGCCCATCGGCCCACACCCACGTCGCGTTTTCTGCCCGAATGGGCTTCCCGGGGCCGGGAAGGGCGTGATGCTCGTAGACACGCTTGCAAGGGCTTTTTCCTCTGTTTTTTCCTCCAATGTCCGGCTTTCACACCCATACAGGGTGATCGGGAATACAAGAGTGTGGATGATCTTGGTCTTGGTCTCCAGGGACTCATCCTTACCCTTGATGAACTTTTCTAGTTCCGTCATGACTGCCCTTCCGAGTCTCCGTCGTCTTCTTCTGATTGATTGGCTGCACTCTCTCTTTGGATTGATAATTAAACCAAGGTATACAAATATCTCCAGTAACTGTAATGTCTCCGTTGTTAACTTTTAAGTTGTGTCGTTGTATTAATGATTTTAGTCTTCTTAAAATGTTCAACTGCAGTCCTGCTTTGCCACTTTCTTCTTTCGCTTTCCCTAAAAGTCGTTTTAGCTTTTCTGCTAGTATTTTCTGCGTATTTTAGAATCACTCCTGTTTCTTTCAAGCAGTTTTCCCTTCTCCTTCCTCTGAGTCTCATCTGGCTTTCCCTGTCGCCTATTTGATTCCTCGCGAGGTGTCCATAGGGGACCCTTCCAGCTCTCTTGTTGCTGTTACTGTTATTGGGGTTGTGGTTGTTTTCTGCCTAAAGACCGGATAACGCTTTTGGACTAAGGCTTCCAAAATCCTCCATCAGTGTGGCTACTAGGGGATTCTGGGGCTTGTAGTGGCCATACTAGAAGGGGGAATTCTGGGAATCACAACCTTTAAAAAGTTTTTGTTTAAGTGAAAAACATAATCCTCTCTTTTTGTGTGTGTGTGTGTGTGTGTGCGTGTTTTGTTTTATTTTTCCGGCTCATCAGTGACGTTTGCGGGAAGCCGAACCCGGGGGGGGGTGGGGCTTCCCGTCACTCCCGCGCTGCCCCTTTAAGGCCAAGTTCCCCCTTTCTACCTCTCGGCCAATCAAGTGGAGCCTCTCGTTTAACTCCTCCCCTTCAAGGCGGAGCCGGGAGCGGTCCTCTCCCTACTGGCTGAGAGGGCCGTTTTTTAAAAACACCCTCGAGGCCCCGCCCTTAGCAACCGCGTCGGCCCTGCTCTCGGATTGGCTGCCGGGGAGCCAATCCATGGCCGCTCTCTGCCCATGTTGCAATTTTCAAATCCGGACTTTGCGGAGCCGAGGAAACGCCGGGCGGGCGGGCGAGCAGGACGAGCGGCGGCCGGGCGGGAGGAGGGTCCAGGTGGGGCTGCGCTCG